AGAGAGAGAGAGAGAGAGAGAGAGAGAGAGAGAGAGAGAGAGAGAGAGAGAGAGAGAGAGAGAGAGAGAGAGAGGGGTGGGGAGAGGGGAAGTGGGGCAGAGTATGCAGCTGTGGCAGAAACTTACGGGTCAGAAAGTCCCATGACATCACCTTTCTTCAGTCCCCTCGCAGATAGTGATAATAACTGCAAAAAAGAATTTCAGAAAATTGAAAATTCGGGATTTCAAGGAGAGGGGGGGGGGGGGGGGGGTTGTGAAAGAAGATATGGCGGAGAATCGTATTGTATATTTTGACTCTTCCGTGTCTGAACAAAGTTTGGCTACTCACAGTGTTACCTTGCCTTGTACAATTTGTGCTCTGTGCATGTGGGACTACCGTCTTCAACCGAATAGAGCGCCCGGTCATTACCCCTGTACTTGGGCCAGCTTGCAGTCCAGATGCAGCAATAATGGCTGGGCGTTCTATTTGGTTGAAGACGGTGGTGTATCCAGATGCAATTTCCTTCAGGAGTGGTATAAATTAAAATGGAACAAAAAGACAGGAGAGGCATGAACAGGTTCATTCCTGACAAGCCCATGAAAGAACACAAATATTTTAGTGTCTCCAAGTTTAGCGAGTAAGGCCACTGGCCTAGCTCAGTTGGTACTTTACTCATCTGTTCTCTGTGGAGTCCGAACTGAAGTCTGTATTTCAACAGTTTAGCGAGTAAGGCCACTGGCCTAGCTTAGTATTTCCTTCATTCCTAAACTGTTGAAATACAGAATTGAGTTCGAACTCCACAGAAAACAGATGAGTAAAGTACTTTAAAAAAAAAAAGGGCAAGAAAGTAAGGCCATAATGAAGTCAGCATATTTGTCCCTCCCAAACAAACACAACCAGTACAAAGTGTGAGCCATCAACTATTACCCCAAGTCTCGAAACCTTCAAAAAAAAAAAAAAAAAAAAAAAAAAAAAAAAAATTCAAATAAACAAATAAAAGAAAAATATATAAATACCAGAGTGGCCGGGGACCACTTGCCCGGCCGGGCCAAAAAACAGTAAAAAATATATACGCAATGACTTGCTGATTGGGCTGCTGTGTTCTGTTCGCGAGGCTGTACACTACAGTTAGGGACATATTTGTAATTTTGTTTTGACTGAGTACTAACAGGGAATTGGCCTGTAGGAAATTTGTGAGGGGCATTCCGGCAATTTCCTAAACTAACAGGTCTAGCCCAACTGCTATCTGCGACCCGGGCTATCACCTTGAGTACCGAACAGGCCCACGGGCCTAGCCGAATAGTAGGTCTCAAAGACTATAGCCGGGGTCAGGTAGGGGCCGAAGAGGCCTAACTGAAACGGTACCGGTCAGTCCAGTCGGAGTTCTGTCTAGGTCTAGGCTAGATCTATTAGTTGGACTGGGTCAGTAGAGTGGGGACTTTTTGGGCTTTTCATTTTTGGGAGAGACATGCGAGCAAAGCCAACGAAGCCACAAAGGGAATGGGGGACTACAGGATGCCGCCTGAGTCCCTCGTTAGAGGACAGCCATAGCCAGACCTCTGGGGCCCACCATAGCTGGGGCGCCCTGCACACACTCACCCCTGAGGGTGATTGAGATTGTCGGGGCTATCAGGAGGCTCTTCATAGCTGTTTGTGGGTGAACCGCCGCTGCTACATCTTCTTCTGAGTCAGCGGTGTGGCAGAGACAGCGGCGCTGCGGCCATAGCCCCAACTGTTGACGTCAGAGACTCTTCATCTCCATCAGGAACTTGGCGCTGATCTGCGTCTTCATCATCCTGGATGTCGCTTGAGCGCAACTAACAGAGTGTAGGAGTTGGGGGTGTGGTGTGAGTTTCAGTGGTAGGGGAACCTTCGGAGAGAACTCTGTTACGTTTTTTGTGTTGATATTGGCTCAAACTTGGTTACGCTCTGCTGTGATCCTTGTGGTGTCTTCTTAAGATTGGTTGTTGGGAGTATAGTCAGAGAGAGAAACACTGTGTGTTGTCTCCACACTCTGTGCATATTTGCTTTCCGCTGCTTACTCTGTCTGTGTGCAGTGTGTAACTCTGTCTCCTCTCCCCTTCTTCTTATGCATGTATGGGTGTGTGTGAGATCGTTTTGCGTGTGAGTGTTGAATGAAACCGACAGACAACCAAACACAACTCACCTTTGACCTGGAAGTCAAAGTACCTACCGTCTTCCCCCGAACACAACTCACCCTCATTTTGGCTGTATCTGGCTGGAAATATAACTCGTATACATTCCTTTTTAGGGTGCGTTACGTTCGGGGGAAGACGGTAGGGTCGTTATGTTCTGTGGTGGGTGGGTGGGTGGGTGGGGTGGGGACACGGAGGGTGGAGCAATACAGGACTCAATAATAGGAGTTTTACTATTAAAAAAAAAAAAAAAAGTTTCTCTATATTAGTATTTTACTATTTTCAGATAAGGAGCGTTTGCGTGTATACAACTAAGCTGGCAGATAACCAAAAACCCAGAACCTCTATTTAAAATGAAAAAAAAGAAAAAAAAAGAAAAAACTTGAAAGCATAAGGGAATATACTTTGCACTACGATGTTACTTCATGGATCTGACCGGACTTGCAACAAGAGACTTGGATGTATTTGACTGCAGTTACAGCCAGAGTTCAGTGGAAAAGGTAAGGTCCTAGTGTGAACACGACCCTAAATTCCGCAAAACCCAAACACATCAAATACTGAAAAACAAAAACCGAAACACAAAAAGGACAACCGTGCAGAATCTGCAGATTGATTGATTTTTTTATTTTTTTTTAGTTTTTTTACGTCCAGAACAAAAGGATGTAGTAGAAGTACCATATTTTATCAAAGACCACACAAGACCTAGATGCATGCACGCATGAAAACTCGACACTTTGAAAACAACAGCATCTTTGGAGTCAAACAGTGCTAAGCAAAAAGCGAGGCACAAAAGGACATACTTGTACGGCAGACCACGGAGGGCATACGCACACTAGGACCTTTTGATTCAAGCTCTGGATGCGATTGCAGTCAGATTCATCTGGATCTCCCCGTAATTGCAGTCAGATACATTTAGAAAAGTCCCTATGTGAGTATGCCCTGAGTCCCATGAAATAAATATACTATGCATTTCTTGGGATGTCATATAAGAGTATAGATTCTATAGAATTGATAGTCAGATATGCCCTCACCCTGAGCTTGTATTGCGGTTTCGAACCATCGACCTCGTCATCCGTGGGCAGGGCAGAAACATTAAGATGGAATTTTGCTGCCACGGGTTTATGATCACTGCAACCAAAGAAAAAAAAATAAAAAAATAAAAAATTGTAAGCAGACTTCAGAAAATTTTAAGCAGACTTCAGAAAACTGTTCAAAGCTGGCTCCAAAGGGAATGAAAAAAAGACACAAAGGGAAAAAAATATTAAAAAAATGCATAGGAAAAAGGAGGAGAAGAGAGAGCCGAACAAGTAGGACACAAAAAAAAATAAAGAAAAAAAAGACACAGGGCAGAAGATGTCAGGCAAAAGGAAGGGCTTTAAACCACCAGTACCTCCGAGCCTGTTTTTGCCGACCCTGATTTTCACTGCGCTCCGAGTTTTGCCGAGCCTGGGTCCCACTCCATTTCTTTATGGTACTCTCATGGGAAGAACAAAAAAAAAAAAAAGAAGAAGAAAAGTTGCGGCCGTGAAAACTCACAAAACAAAAAAATGAAACAAAGCTCTGGGCGTGATTGCAGCTGTATACATTATCGGAAGTGTAAGTGTGAGTGTGCCCTCAGTGAGGGCATCTCAGCCCCGTGGCCAGGTTGTCAGATTTAGAGAAACTCAAAAAAAAAAAAAGAAGACAGAAACATGGATTCCGCCGTGAAAATGGCAAGATACATTCCCGTAAGTGCCAGTGTGATCAGGGTTACAATCCTCTGAGGGAACACAGCTCGAGCAGATCACGGATTCAGATTGTCAGAGTCCAGAAAATGAAAACAAGAAAAAAAAACGAAAACATGGATTCGGCCTTGAAAACGGCTGGGTACATCAGTGTTACAATCATCTGAGGAAACAATACTACAGCAGATCACGGATTCCGCCCTGCCTCGTTGGCAGGGTACTCATAACAAACAAATACAAAGAAAAAAAGAAAACAACAAGTTTGAGAACGTGGCCGTCCTTGCTGTAAGATGCATGCAAGACTGTGAGCACGGTCTCCTAGACATCCCTGCACGACATCATTGCAGTACAAAGGCCCGTTTTTTTCCCTTTCCCTTTCGTGCATGGGCAAAAAAAAAAAAACGACTTTTGGGACATTGCCGACCCTCTGTCCGACCCCCGAAAACTTCGGGTACTGGCCAGCATCTCGTATTTTCCCAACACTGGGGAAGGTACTGGTGAAAAAAAATAAAAAAAAAAGGAAAAGGAAGGGCTTGGAAACATACCATGCGGATCGGAGGCTATGGGATTAATGAGAGGGACCAAGGGAGCGACCGAGGGACTACGGGATGGGAGGCACCAAGAGACCGATGTGCTATGGGATTAGTGATGACATAGGCACCAAGAGAACGAGGGGCTAATGGAGGGAACGAGGGAGGGGCCAAGGCATGGACCAAGGGAGGGACCGTCCTGGGGACGAAAAGCAGTCAAAGGGGGTGGAAATGAAAGGGAGGGATAAGTGAGTAAGTGAGAAAGGGAAGAACAATGGTAGCAAGCAAGCTAGGGCAAAAAGGGAGTTAGGTTGGGAAGGAGGAGGGAGGAAGGGAGTGACCGAGCAAGGGAGTGACCAATGGGAAAGGACTGACTAAAGGAGTGACCGAGGAAGGGACAAAGGAAGGGGCCAAGGAAATGAGGGGGCAAGCGAGGACAACGGAAGGCCAAAGGAGTAAGAAACCAACTGAGGGACCAACGGAACAGGGACCGAGTGATAGACCACGTGAAATATTGCAGGGAGGTAGCAAAGTCATACACTTGAGCGGGCTATACTACCGATGGCGGTCATGTGCTACCTGGAGCGAAGTGTGCGGTGATTGCCAGCGTCCGTGGGTGTTGTGTGTGGTGTGCGTTGAGTGTGGACACTACAGCCTTGCAGGGGTGGGGCGGATATCACGGCCGGTATGGTTCCGCTTTTGAACACCGTGTCCTGGCTGTAGTGGTTACGATACTTGGCTCTTGAGGCCGAGGTCGCCGGTTCGAATTCGTGCTTGCACGGAGGAGGGCTGAGGCCCAGAGGTGAATGACAATGACATACACACATTGCCACAAAGAGCCGCCCAGAGACCAGTAGGCACAAAGGGAGAAAAGCACAACAACAGGGGACGGGGCTTATATATTTACGATTTTCATTTAGATTACTTGTTGCGGCTCCACCCACAAAAACCGACAAACAGGGCATTTTGTAATTCACACATGCTAAAAGGGGGCAAAGGAAAAAGAATACATAAAAAAATAATAACCAAGGTGCCTAAATCAAGGAACTGCCCTGTGGACAAGTGGCTGCGTTTCCTTTGCTCCTCAGCCGCTTCCTCGTCCACATACCTCACCCTCTTCCTCCTCCTCCATGTACTTCTTCATCTTCCTCTTCCACATACCTCACCCTCTTTATCCTCCACGTTCAGTCCCTTTGCTGATTTCCACAGAACGCCTAAACCCCTGTCTCTTATACACATCTAGATGTGTATAAGAGACAGGACTGTAAGAGCACCGCATCCAATTCTCACTATTGCAGTTGCTGTATCGAATGGCATGGCGTAGACAGGTGCTGTCACAGGCAACATCACTCCC